GAGGGGGAGGGGGCAGGGAGGAGTGAAAGTACTTTGAAGGGAGATCGAACTTCTCTTCTACGAGGGGGGGTCTAGTATTTCCCGCCGGGCGGGCGGCCTGCTCGACCGCACACTCAGTACACGACGAGCACCCCGCCTCCAACTATCATCTTCCACGCCCCCCCCCTTTCCGGACACCGCGCGTCGGCCACATCCATGGGCGACCCACCAAAAGGACTTTCAAAGCAATGCCAAGCACTAGGGAGTCGCGGCCCACGGCCCAGCCCGCCCACTCGTCCCCTATACACTGAAAGTCGAGGGCGCACTAAAGTCGCCGCTCCTGCGCGCGGGGGGAGCGACATTTTGAATCCAATCTAGCGACTCCTGGGGAAGCGGCATTGCTGTAAGTCACGCTCGTTTGTAGAGTCGTCTTTTTCGGTTAGGAAAAAGACTCACGGTGAGTCGTTTTTCGCGAACACTGCTCACTGCTCCATCAGAGCGATATGAAGACGTGAGTCGCGCTCTTATATCCGGAAGAAACGTGACTCTTCTAACCTTTGCAGTGTATCCGTCCTACCCAATAGCCCCAGCCCCTCAACAAGATTACTCACGCACACACACACACACACGAATAACCGCACCGGCAGGCGATACACATCATCATTGTCATGAATTTGAGCCCGCACAACGGACTGGACGAGGGAGGGCGAGGGTTGGGTGAGGTCCGTATAGAAAAGAGATTGGACGCTGTACAGAGCGGGTGCGCCTGCCCCCCTCTCGCCCCCTCCCCCCCACTCCTTTACCACTCCGGTATTGAGGCGCACCCCCCACGCGTTTACCCATTTAAAACTACGAGATATACGATATAGGTTATTTACGAGTCCCTGCTGTGACCAACTTTTTTCCTTCTCTCTCTCTTTCTCTCTCCGTCTCTCGACCCGTCACAAATTCACAGCAGCAGCCCAGCCTCCGACGACGGCAGCAACAGCAGCATAAGGTTAATCAGATGGTTTATACCTAGACTTTGCTCCCTATATACTGCTGACCCTTTATGGATGGAAATGAAGACAAACTGTGCTTGATGTGTGGACCCCCCACCCCTCCTCCCCCGCTGGTCGCGGCACCACCAGTTCGCCCCCC